ACATAATCTGTGATTGAATTTAATTATGGAATGTTTTATTTTTTTTAAGATATAACCCAATGGGTAAGTCAAGCCTAATAGACGACAAGGCCGTCCAATCAACTTGATCCTACGAATACAACACAAGGCAAGTTGGCCACTAGTATCTGACATAATCTAAGTCATTCGTAAGATGATGATCCAACGATCAAGGGAAAAAACAACTTGGCAACTTACCCGACCAGAGCCAGATAAAGGCAGAACTCTCGGATTGAACATCGATCCAATGGATGGGGTTCAATTCAAGAAACTATAGAAAGGCAAAGCATGTGACACACAGTGGATAGATCAAAGGTCGACCAATAACCCTCTTTTAAATACAAATTATATTTTAATGGCTAAGCAATGTACTGCCTTGACCATCGGAGAGTCCTCCCGGCATATCCTAGTCTGGGGTACCTCTCAAAAAACAGAGAGTCCGTGTAATATAGACTTAAATTATTTAAATATATATATGGCATATTTATTTTACTTTTTTTTTATACATATTTTTACATTATTTAATATATAATAATATATTTATTCTATTATTTAAATAAATGTTAAACGAACATCTAACGAGTTAAGCTAACATGCCAAGTTTTAATATGTTTGGGCTTATTTAATAAGATTTTAACAAGTTCGAACTCAAGCTCAAGAGCAATAAAAATTTAATGAACCGAGTTTGAATGAGCCTTTACTAAGCCGAACTCAAGTTTGTTCAATAACGATTTTGTTCATTTGCAGCCCTATTTATAAGTGACATTTTTAAAATTGCCTCTAAAAGCCTTGTTTTTTTTTTATTTTTTGAGACAACTTTATAGCGACTATCCTCACGACAATTGGTCCCTAAATGCTTATTGCAACAAAATTTTCACTCTTAAGGACCAAAATTTTTGGTCTCGAAAGGGAGATTTGGTTAAAACCCCCTCATAGTAAAACTTTAATGCATTAAGAACAAATACAAAAAAATTTCCTTGAAAAGTCCAACGCATACTACTATTACCAAAATATTAAACTTTAAAATAATATAACTTTTTATCTATATGTCGATGTTAATAAAATTAGTATTTTTAGAATCCTCTCATCAAGATCTATCAAATAAGATCCATGTTGACTATGAAATTCTTTAACAAAATAAATAAAAATAAAATTACCATCAAAATTGATGTAAATAGTAACATGTTACTCTATCTTACAGTAATATATTATTCTTAAAATATTATCCAAGAAAAAAAATTATATTTAACTTTGTACTTACTCAATTATGTGCATCCTCTTTAGGAGGTATATGAAACAAAATAAATTGAACTATCATTTTCACTAAACAAAGGTCCAATACGGAGATTTTGGCTAAATTTTCCTCTCTATAACTCTTATATATTGTGGTGTAAGAAATCCCATTGAATCCTGTCATAAGCCTTGTTGAATTCAAGCTTGAGGCAAGGTCCACCTTCTTCCCCCTCTTCAAAAAATGAAAAGCCTCATAAGCTATCAGGATACAGTCTTGAATGAGTCGGCCAGGGACAAAAGTAGCCTAGTGAGGGGAGATAAGATGCTTCAAAAATTTCTTGAGTCAATTGGCCATCACCTTAGTAATGATCTTCATGAGAAAATTACGCAAACTAATTGGACGGTATTGAGTCAACTTCTCAGGGGCGGCCACTTTAGGAATTAGGATAATGTCCGTCTAAAAAAAACTGCGAACTGCCTCACACACTACTGGGACAACCTCTGCCCAACGCTTCTGATAAAAAAATCTTAGGGAAGCCATCTGGGTGAGGGCCATTGGAATCCGGATCCTCCGTCGCACTCCCCTGCGGCCCATTCTTGTCGCCCTCCAAAACGACGTCGTTTTGGAGGTTTTTTTTTAGTTTTTTTTTTTTTTTTCTTCTTCTTTCTTTCTTTCTTCCTCTCGCTTGCCTTTTCTAATAAAAAATAGATGTTAACACACTATTTTCTCTTTGTTTCTTTCTTAAACTATCCAACAAGCAGAAGAGAACTATCCTTTATATATTTTTATTTTTTTCCTTTTTCTTTCTCTCCTCTCCTAGTTTTCCAGGGTTTCTTTTCCGATTTTCTTACCACTAAATACATAGGGAGTGAGGCCCAAATTAAGTAAATGCAAAAAGAACTCATTACTTTGTATTTATCTAGTGGTAAGAAAAATTTATAAGAAATTCATCTATATTTATAAGAAATTCATGTATATATAGTATGTTTATTGATTTATATTTAAAATTGGCTCTCTTCTTGGGGAATTAAGCTAGAAAGAGCACACCAATTAGTTGTTTAACCCACCTTGAGGCCGGAGGCTGCCTTGGGTGACACCATACTGCAATGAGAACAGAATCAAACTAAGAATTTGAAATGAATGAATCAAAAGCTAGAAAGAAAGAAAGAAATATATTCACCATTTGGTTGTTGCCTTGTAGCTGAGAAACTTGAAGTTGAAGCTCAGAAGAAGCCTACAAATCCATTTGGAAACATTAAAACAATTCAGTTTGAGTTTGCACACAGAATGGCTTCTATATATTACTACTTTTTATGTGACATGTGGTACCCCCCCACACACAACATATATATAGCTTAGTTATTGCATTTTTTTTAACTGATTCCTCATACGTGAATGTAGTTTATTCATATAAATTATCCTAATGAGTCCGTTTATTCATATATCAAAATTCAATTATTGTGAATAAAATAAAAATTAATATGTTGCTTACCTGCAGGTTTTCTGCGAGCAAACCAAGCATTAGTACAAAGCATAAAATGGCTGCACTTTGTTTTTTATCCATTGCTTTGAGATACAAAGGAAGCAAACTCAGAGAGAGAGAGAGAGAGAGTTGGATGGAGTAGTGAAGAAGTGGGAAGATAGAGATATTTATAGAGATTTGGGTCCCTCAAAAAAAAAAAGATTTAGGGTTTGCCTATATTTCAAATGATAGAGCACATACACATGACACAGCCTATTTGGTAGAAATGACCTAACTTTATCATCTTTGCTGCACATGCATTTTTCAACATATAGAAAGACAGACTTCAATTATTTATAACTACAAAAATGTTAGGTACACAAAATTAGAACACGAAAGATTTTATTAATATTTAATTTAAGTTTTCTCTTTTCATATATTTTTGTGCTGCTAACATTTGTGTTAGTACTATTGTATAATTCCATTTAGGTTTCTGAAACCCTCCCAAAGAGGGATAGACAAAAATAAAAAAACTTTGCTCCACATTGAGGAGCTACAGTCTCCCAAAGTGTTTACAAAACCATAGACACAATAATTTAGGTACTTGTGGAAAGAGAGCTCTCTCAATTTAAGGGGAACTTTTTATTCAATCAAGTAGGGTTAATTTTGTTGCCTAGACCCCTTTCAACTTAGTCAGGCTATGTTTGGTTCACTGGAATGCAACTAAATTGGAATAGAATGCCCATTCATTATTCTCCATTTGTAATAAATTTTACCTCATTTTTTTACTAACCAAATGTGAGAATGAACATTCTAATGAAATAATCACTCCATTCCATCTTCATTTCAATGAACCAAACATTATTTAAGAGGTTGGTAAGACTTTTCTCTCCTGACTAATAGCATCCTGTGTACCTAAAAAGAAAATCGTCATCTGACTTAAATGAATTTTATGTTTGTGCTTGCCTGGTCATTGATGAGTTATTGTTCAGTACTTTTAGAATATTATGTGACATTATTTATGCAGTACAGTACTCAAGCAATAACGTAATGAAAAACTTTACACGTAGGATAATACTAACCCAAATCTCGACAGTGTATAGCTCAATACTCCTAGTACTCTTAGACATCGCAACAAATACTGATACTTCTTCTGATATTGCTATTTAAAACCACGATTGCCAATGACAATGATGGTGCTGGCCACTGCTTATCCATGGCAGTGCTGCCAATGGTGGTGGTGGTGGTGATTCTAATAGGTGCATGTAGAGGAAGATGCAAAGGATAAAATGGTAATAGGATAGAAAATGACTTGAAACATGTTGAAGATGGAAAGCTCTCGTTCACTTGTGACCTTATCTCATATTGTTATTTTTGTTATCATATCCATGTGCAACAAGGAAACAATGAGGGTGATGGAAGGGCCTTGAACATGTGCAATCACATGCTCATCCTTCTGTGCTTTTACAATGGCTCCATCTCAATGCTCAGCAAAAAAAAACTGTATGGGGTGGTTGTGAACTTACATCAACCATACATATATGTATAGGTTAGGGCTCCACCACAAGAAAAAAAAAACAAAGGGTCTTTCCATTTTGGTTTTTATTTTTTCATCATGTTCTAGTCCCTTTTTTCTCTCCTTTTGGTTTTGGGCTTTTATGACATCTATGGGAAGTGGGTAGGGCCTTCATGTCCCCTATCTATCCAGGACTGTTGGACCACTACCTCATGCTCCATGTTCCTTTGCTTGCAAACTGGTACACTGTGTGATATATAGACAAAAGAGAGGAGAGAGTGGGGGAGGAATCCCTCGCATTTAAGAGAAAAATGTTATACATAAACTAATTTCTGACCTGATTTTGTTGGGCATGGGTTTCATGTGTATTATTATTGTGGACTCATTGTGTTTATTGATAAGAAAATTTAGTGAGAAATTTGATATGAAATCAAATTCGATTTCTTACCCTTTTTTTTTATTTATCACAAGTGGGAATTGTTGTGTTTAGAGATAAGAAAATATGATAAGAAATTAATTTTTGTATTACATTTTTTTAAAATGAAAAATGTTACATATAATCTCATTTCTTATTGCATTTTTTCACATTTAGATACTAGTGATTGGGTTTCATGTGAATTTATTAATGTAGCCCTATTTTCTTGTATCTAGTAGTGATAAAATAAAATAAAAATAGGAAGGGTGAATTTCAATGGAAAATGCTATTTATTTAGAGTTTATTTTTAAAAATTTATTCTGTAAGTCATATCTAAAATAAATGTGATCCATAAAATTATTTTTCTGAATAATTTTTGAGTATGTAATATTATTAGAATTTCAATGGTAAGTGGGGGAGAACTAGGGTATGTGGGTAGATCTCGGATACCTGATTTAATTTGGACGAGGAATAAGAGATCTCTGTTTAATTTCAATTTCTGAAGAATTTTTTCTTTAAAAAAAAATTAAAAATTAGTGTGATAAAAATTAACACCAGAAATATATTTTTAAAATTTTCAAAAAAAAAAAGATTGTCCCCCTGACCTTTTCCCCCGAAAAAATAAAATCATAAGAAAATAATGAGTATTTTTTTTATTACTTAGGTCTCGTTTCGGAATAGATTATTTTATTAATTTTTTAATTTTTTACGAAAAGATGTTCAAAAAAGTAAAGAGAGTAATATGACAATTTATAATAATTTTTTAACTTTTTAACTAAATTATATAGTTGACAAAAAAAAGACCTAAATTAGTGTTTAGTTTCTTTCAAAAGTTTTCATAAAATAAATTCTAAAAACCAAACCAATTAGAGGTTTGAGTTTTTGGTATGGACCAGTTGTTAGCAAGAAGGCTTCTTGTGGGCCGTTTTGTAGAGACTGGACTTTAAGACACACAAGTAAGAATGGGCTTGTTATTACTGGGCTGAAATAGTTCCAAGGCAATAGAACTCGTGGGCCGTGCTAGTGGAGCCAAGTGATATCGGAAGCTTTTGTGTCTCAGAGTGGGGCTATTGTGACCAAAAAAAATTATTACATACACTTTCCAACTTTCCTAGTATCATGTGCATTGTTTACCTAACATTTTGGCAAAACAGAAGTTATATATTAACGCTATGATGTTTGGGCCCAAAAAAAATTTGAAAAATATATTTTTGATATTTGGTATAACAAAAAAATGTTTTTTTATGGTTAATAAAAAATAAGTCTATTTAACTAGAAAATGTTTTTAACTTTTAAAAAGTAAAAACATTTTCTAAACTAAAATTTTAAGAATATCATTACACCACCCGTTCAACCACCATCACTTATATCACCACTACTGTCACCATCATACTACGTCCACCTTTGTCTTGTTATGACAATCAAATTTTTTTTTTTTCTCTCAAACAAATAGAGCGTAAATGGATTATCATTGAATTTGATTTTCAACATGGATTTTTAAATTATGTGAACAAACACCTCTTCATTGAAATAAGCTGTGAATCCCCCAAAAAAATAAAAATAAAAAATTTAAATTCTTTCAAATTAGATGGACTTGAAAAGTTATAAAGAAAAAAAAAAGTACAAATTTTTGAAAAATTCATTTATGCTGTGTTTGGTTGGAGAATTTGGGAAGGAATTTGGAAAGGAAAATGAAAAAAATAGGTGAAATGTGAATAAATCATGCTCATATTTCATATAGTTTTACACACTTTTTTCCTTTCCCTTTTCAAATCTCTCCCCAAATTTCCTAAGCAAACACAGCTTTAAGAAAAAAAATGTTACTTTATAATTATTGCCAAAGAGAGAGATGCTCTTACATCCAAAGAAAAAAAAATAAAAGGACCTATTTGAAGCCAAAAAAAAAAGCTGAAAATATTTGAACGATAATAAGGATGCTTCCATTTACGTGTATATATATGTTTCCTAAAACATTTTGGTAGTAAAAAGCAAAATATACATGTGTGAGGGTGGGTAATTAATAAGAAGAAGAAGGCAAATGTGGAAACAAAAGTAATAAGTAATCAATTTAGGCCCACTTAGCCAAAAGTGACATACAGCCGGCACCGAAAAGGAGCGAAGCGTTGGCTCCAAGCTGAAGCTTTCGGTTGGCTTGCATCCTGGGGTTCATGAAATCAACTGAGAGAAGATCGACTAAAGCCATGTAAATGAGTATTCCAGCTGATGCTGCATTTAAAATGCCCTCTACAGCTAGGGCAGTTGGGCTATTTTCGTTGTAACTGCTCGATATTCCAATGCCTATTGCTATTCCAACTGGTGTTGTGAGAGAGAAAAATATTGCCATGATTACCACTGCTTTACACTTGAATTTTGCCTACACCAACGCCCGACATATATATAGTCAAGTCCAAATCCTAAATCTTTACAAATTACTATAAAATTTTGAACATAAAGCATTTTACGTAATGAGTATGTCATATGATCAAGTAAACTCCATTTGTTAGATTCGAAAAGTCATTTTGTGTTGGCTCTAGATATTGATAGCTCAGGCATATTAAACTTTAGTCCCACTATTTATCATATGATAAATAATAAATGAAAGAGTATATCACGTCAATTCAGTCATATAATATACCCATTAAATAAAGAGAGATTTGCGTGTAGGTCTTAATAGGTGGATTTATTGTCTAATAGGGTCCTATGATAATTAATGATATTTTTCATCAAATACTATTAAAAAAACTTTACTAATTATAAGTTTTAGTGACAATTTAAAAAAATCTTCACAAAAAATGTCACTAATTTTTAACTTTCAGGGATAGTTTGAAAAATTCATCACAGAAAAACGATACTAATTGTAAGTTTTAGCGACAATTTATAAAAATCGTGACAAAAAAGTAACTAATTGTCAATTTTTACGCATGCAAAAAATCGTCTCAAAAAATTATTTTTGTCGATGATTTTTACTAGGACTTATTTTTAGTAGAACTTGATAGGAATTAAGTCAAACTATTAGGACCCAGTGCTAGTTTACCCTAAAATAAAAATAAATAATAAATAATCTAATGTTTAAATAAATTTTTATTAAATTTTATTGTCACTGGACAGAAAGGAAGTGAAGTTAATGAAAGCTAAATTTTAGAATTTTATTACAAGAAGAGACATTCTCAGTAATAGGAGAGACTTTTTGTATTGTTTTAGTTATTAGATGGAGTAAGTAATATGATTTAGTATTTTGTTTCATTTTTTTGTGACTAATTACATTTACGGCTCATTTGAGAATTAGTTATTTTATTGATTTTTTACAAAAAAAAAAATATGTAGAAAAATAAATACAGTAATGTGACCATTTATAATGATTTTTTGATTTTTTTAACTATTTTAGCCTATTGACAAACTAGTCCCGAGAAAGCCTTTAAAATTGATCAAATCAACTTCGAAACTAAAAAGTATACGTGCTTTTCTATATATTTTGAGTAATGATATATAAATTAAAAATTCATATATAATTTCTGTGCATAATAATGTGGCTCGATATAGACCACTTACTTTAAAACAAAACTCACAAATATTTATCAAAATGACATTATCATATTTTTTGTATTAGTTTTATATATGAATAGCATTTTTCATATATCTTTATTAGGCAAAAAAATTATTATTGAGAGCTTACCCTAAGGGTTCGTTTGTTTTAAGAGATGGAGGAAGGGATTGGATTGAGGTGGAGGTAAAACCTACTAATATTGTGTTTATTTGAAAATTTGGAAAGGGGATTCATAATACATTTGGATTAAGATGGGCCTTCAGCGTTGGGATTCATATTCAGCGTTGGGATGTTACCGGTCGTTTGGGGGATGTCCGACCAGTCATTCGGCCTAGTACAATTATTATTATTATTATTTTTTAATGGTGGGCAGCACAATTCGAACTTAAATATTTAATCAATTCTGTTTTTTGTTTAAGTAAAAACCATGATTTTTATTTGTTTTATTATTTTATATTTATTTCATATAAAAATAATTTAACAATTTCTATACTAACAACTATTATCAAAATAAGTATAATTAATTCTTTCACTATCAATTTTTTCTATCCTCCCTCTAAAAACAATTACAAAGGAAATTTATAAATGATATTAATAGACTTTAAAGTGACACACTTACAATATTAACAACTTCACCAAATTAAAGTGTATTCTTCTAATAACGAAAGGATTAATATAATAATTTGAGAAATTTTACTATACACATCCCTTAAAAGGAGTGTACTATATACATCACTAGTTATACTATTATCTTCTTTAATTATGAAGATATTTTAGTTATGACTTATGAAATCTTTGATTATATCCTATGTAGTATTTATTTATAATTTCTTTTTATATAATTATAACTCAAAAAATATAAAATTATATTATTTTATTCTTTAATTATAAAGATATGTACATAGTCATGCCCTGATAATTTTCCACTGAACCACCGCCGCAAGAGTTATATTTTTGAATTTATATGTGTTGGAAAATTTATCAAATTTTCTACTAATTCTGTTTGTGTACTTAATAACAAACAGAATATAAAAGAAATAAAATAAATGAGAGAAAACTGTTTAACAATCTTAAGACAGATTCGTCATTTCCTCGGTACTTTCAGAATATGGATGTCTATCTCCCAGGATGAAATGATCAACAACAAACAAATGCAGCACTACAATTTATTTGTTCTACGAACACACTTAGTGTATATACTCTTTCTCACAGAAAAATAATGAAATAAATGCAGCAAAATGCAAAGATGATTTGCAGCAAAAGATGGACGAAAATTGGAGTAAAAATCCAAATGTGGGATTGCCTATTTATATAGGTGAAGTGATGGCTTGGTGGCTGCTCAATTTGAATCCGACAGGTAGCAATGGTACATGCCATTAGAAAAGTTGGCCTTAGCTTTGATGATGACCTTAAGAAAATTGTTGCACTACTTCCATGCCCACATCGTGATTGTCCTAACGGCCTTCCCCTTAAAAGCCTTGTTTGAAAGAGCGGATTTTTCGGGACGAATTTTGAAGTGGGTAGTGGAGTTAAGGCAGTTCGACATTAAGTTTCAACCAAGAACCGCAATAAAGGCCCAAGCTTTGGTAGACTTCGTAGCCGAGTTCACGCTAAGAAGTCATCATGTTTACCTGATCGACTTGACCGAGACAACCCAAAGAATGGGGGAAAGTGGCACAGGAATTGCGCAGCCCCTAAAGCAGGACGCCCAATGGCATAGCAAGCCATTCAGGCCTAAAGAGAGGGAAGAAGGAACATACCACAACACTGCCAGGGAGGACTCACCTAGAAGTAGAGTCTTGAAACAGACAGATAGTGAGGATCAAAGCCTAACGGCAGACATAAACCTGGATGAAGGCATCAGCAACGCCCCTGATCCCAAGACATCATTAGACCCATTCACTTGCTAGAAGCTATTCATCGGAGAGATGTGGAAACTCTTTAGAGCATCCAACAGGCACGGCGCAGGACTGGGCATAGTCCTCATCTCACCAGATGGCCTAACAATTGAACAGACAGTCAACCTTGGCTTCCCAGCATCCAACAACGAGGCAGAGTATGAGGCATTGTTAGCAGGTTTGAAATCGGCACTTCGCATGAAGGCCACAGAACTGATGGTGTATAGTGACTCCCAACTGGTAATCAACCAGGTTTCGGGCGACTACGAGGCAAAGGATGATAGGATGGCTACGTACCAAGACTTGGTCAGAAAGGAGATCATGAAGTTTGAAGTAGTTCGGATAGAGCAAATCGGTTGAAAGGAAAATAGTAAAGCATATGAGCTGGCTGGTTTTGCGTCAATGGCAGATACATTTATCCCACACCCATTGCTAATTGACTTCTTACCTAAACTAAGTATTGAAGAACCCAAAGCAGCCGAAGCATGTTGTGCCGAACTAGGCCCTTCCTGGATGGATCCCATCTTAGTATTTTTAAAAGATGACATCTTACCTAAAGAAAAGAAAGAAGCCAACAAAATTCGAGCAAAGTCACAGCGATTTTGGCTCTCCCCATCACTAGCATTATACAAAAAGTCCTTCACAGGACCTTACTTGAAATGTGTTTATCCCAGCAAGGTCGATGCATTTTTGTTCGAAATACATGAAGTGTTTGTAGAAGCCACCAAGGGGGGAGGTCACTAGCTTATTGAGCAATTTTACAAGGATATTGGTGGCCATACATGTAAGCAGATTTGGAGAAATATGTCAAGAAGTGCGAAAAATGTCAAAAGTTTGCACACCAAATACATTAACCAACCAGAGAGCTTCTACCATTGACCAGCCCGTGGCCCTTTGCAATGTGGGGCTTGGATATAGTTGGACCACTCTCAACTGCGCCTGGTAACAAAAAGTTCTTTCTCGCAGCAACGTACTATTTTACAAAAATGGGTGGAGGCAAAAGCACTCACATCTATAAAAAAAAAGACGTCAAGAAATTCATCTGGCAGAATATCATAACCCAGATCGGCATACCTAAGGCTTTAATATCTAACAACGACACTTAGTTTGATGGCAAAATCTTTAGGGAATTTTGCGAAAAATACAAGATAGAATTCTATAACTTTACACCAGCGTACGCCCAAGTTAATGGCCAGGTTGAGGCTTCCAACAAGGTAGTCTTAGACGGTCTGAAGAAGAGGTTGGAAAGAGTAAAAGGCAAGTGGGCTGAGGAACTTCGCCATGTTTTATAGGGTTACTGTACTACACCTCGGCGATCAACTGGAGAAATACCCTTTTCATTGGCTTATGGCATGGAGGTAGTAATCCCACTGGAAGTGGGTTTCCCCACTATTAGAAGCAAGAATTGTGATCCAAACTTGAATGGTGAAGCCATAGTCCTCAAACTCGACCTTGCAGAAGAAAGAAGAGAAAGGGCATTAGTGCACATTGCCTCTTATCAACAAGAATTGTCTAGAAAATATAACAAAACAGTGCACCCAAGACAATTTAAGATTGAAGATTGGGTACTACGCAAAGTAATGGGTAACACCTTAGAACCAAGAGATAACAAGTTAGGGCCTAACTAGGAAGGACCATACAAAGTGATCAGTCTAGCAGGAAAATATGCATATCACTTAGAAGATATGGACAGCAAGGCTGTTCCCAGACCATGGAACACGGCCAACCTCAAACTATTTTAATTTTAGCCTTTTCTTAAAAACACTTGTAATTTCTCTATTTCAATAAAACAAGTAGACTTTTTTCTAGCAAAATTCCTTTCCAATTTTGTAAAAATGGCTCGTACTTGATGCTGACTGGGGGCAACCAAGAAGGTTGGCAGGTTTGGCCAACAAGTTTTTCTTCTTCAGCCGAGATAAGGATCCAAGCTCA